AAAAGTGAAAGTCATAAATGCAAAAATTTCACACAATTTTCTCCGATCGAAAAATATTAATTTTCATTTCTACGAAAAGGGGTTTTTTCCATATAACTTTGAGAGAACTCAAAATATTTTTTGATTTTTCTTTATAGAACAATCCTATGGGTTGAGAGCATTAAAATTCCGACTTTACTTTTTCACATGCATTTCGCACCATCCTATGTACACATATCTGGTTTTCGAGTACATATTTGTGTGTTATAATTTCATAGAAAGTACTTGCTACGAGTCAAATTGTGAATTTCCTCTCTTGCTTACCCAGCTAGCACATTTGCCAGACCATTTCTGATATCAGACAAGTCGGAATAAAAAGTTGACTATTTATACAAAGTCTTACAGGTTTCGTGCAGATTTCTGCGGCGCAGTGTTTGGAGAATTTTATTTATTTCCTTATCCGATATGTCTGATCGAATTATGTCCGATTTCGGGCATACACGTCTGATAATTCTTATTTTCCATGATTATTTGGTGAGACATCTGTTAGATATCCGTCAGAATCGTCGGTCAGAACTTCCCACGTCGTGTCGGTTAGACTTCCGGTCAACCTCTCCATATGCTTCACTGGCCGATATCGGCCAAAATCATACAGATTTCTGACTTTTTTGCCGACGAGTCTGACGTATATCTAACAGATTTCTGGCAATTTTGCTACCGGGGTACTTATGTACTTAACTATGTAGCGAAGAGCATATTACGCGTTTATTATTATATTCTTACACAAGTTTTAACACATAGTAGATAGCACAACGGCATCTTGATTTAATTGTAAATATGTATATAGCTAAGTATATCTGAAAGTTCTTTTGAGTGGAAAAGTTAAGCAAAAAGTGAATGAATACAGAAGTGAATGTTGATTTGTACGAGTACGACGAGTATGATGGCAGTGACAACTTCCGCAACGCATCAAAAAACAAATCGCGTCGGAGCAATAAAATCAGGGGAGCAGTGAGTGGGGTTGCCTTCCCAACTACTGGGTGTTGTTGGCTACTGGTTGCTGATTACAGCAGTTGGCGCAACTGATCGGATGTTGTTTGGTTTTGTTTTTGTTTTATTGCGTGTATGTTTACATATATTTCCCTCACTGCTGCAGCATCTCTGATGATTAATGCAACAAGTCCAACAACATTTAAATAAGCGATAACAACAATGGCAGAAAGCGTGAAGTTGCTGAAGGCAACTGTCATACCCATGCCCCCAGATTGACTCGTTCGCTGTTCATACAAATTTACTAGATATCTTGTGATCTTGAGGGCGTGCCTTGCACCCCTCCTCGGTGTGTGCAACTGTGCATGCGTGTATGTGGGACTGTCAGATGGCTTAACTGCGAGCAATTTGCCACCGCAGCCGTGATAACATTGCTTGCATAAAACTTGCTGCGCGTCGCATAAACGAGAAATTAAAAAAAAAAAAAGATAGGTACTTTTATCAAGCCGAAGATCAGCAGTAATTGTCAATTGATCAGTCGGTAGGAAAGTAAATGAACAGTAATTATGCGGAGGCAAGAGTTATTACACTACAACTCATAACAATTTATTTTACTTGAGGCTCTTTTGTTTTTTTTTTTGTTGATGATTGGGAGCATCCGGCATGAAACGGAAGCCTCAACAACAGCGATTGGATGACAGAGCCATTTTAAGTAAAATATTGGGGCAGAGCATTGGGCAAGTAATGGCTTGATTAATATAAATTGAATTTGAGCATACATAGTGTGTGTTTTGATCTCATCTATATCCATATTCTTTTTCTTCTTCTTCTTGTTTGATTTCTTAAGTTCAATGAACGATTTGGAGTGTGCTCATGTGGACTTCGTTTGTTGCATTAACTAAAAACTTTCAGGGAAATTATACATAATTCAATTAGCTACTCCGAAATCGTGAACGGTATGCTGGAGAGGAGCTTTAAAACCTTTGAATGTAATATGTCCAACATAGTGCAGTACCTCCACAGTAATCTCGAACATTTCCTAGAAAATCGTGGTTGCTATAGTAAAGAACAAGGAGAGCGTTTACACCAGTACCTAAAAACTATGGAATAGAGGTACCAAGGCTAATGAGAACGTCGTAAGAGGGCTGACTATTGCTGGGTGATTCTCAGAAGTCGCGAAAAAGAATGTTTGCACCAAAACCACTGTTGACCAGTGTAGACTTAACGCTTATTTGTCAGGGCCGTACCTCGCACCTTAACAAATATTTTCAGTCAGATAATTTCGAAACGAATTTATATTTTCCTCGTTCAATGATCGACAACAAATTGCCGATAACTTCCTTTTCTCATTAACTTTTAACCGCAAACACTATGTACTTACAATGCCCCTGTAAATACATACAAATTTCCAAGTGCATACATTTACAACAGCTAAATGAATTGCAGCTTAGCAAAAAACCTTGTTTAAGTTATTGACATTGTATGAGGTCGCCATCATACTCTTAAGTACATACAAATTTAAAAATATGCATATGCGAAAGAGTTGTGGGTCAAAACAATACAAAAAAAAACTACTGTGTTTGCACAATCAGTTTAAAAATGCACCAACAGCGAAAATTGCGCGTACCCATTCACTAAAGCTTGATGTAATCCAACGACATACATACGTGCATATAGAATTGAGCTAGTTAGACCGTTCCAGAATAATTTTTTTAATGAAGAGAGAGGTTAATTTTAACTTTAGTATTAACCCGGTTAATTTAAATTTAGTGTATTTAATATGCTTGGTCTTAAAAACATTTGGTGTCCCAGAAATTTGATATCGATACCCTGTCCTTTCCCTTTCGACCTACCTGCATAAGTTAAATTTCTGGTTAAGAAGTTATGTATACTGAAATTACCACGCCTTTCGTTAAGTTTTACATACTGGGTGCCTTTTCCATCCCCTTCTTAGCATTCTTTGTTGAAAAGCTAGAACACCTAAACTGTTGCTCGAACCGTTTGCTTCGTATCCACTACTACACTCCAACTGTGCGTGGGTATACCCGGTTTAAACTC